TTTACTCAATATTAAATAAATGCAATAACAGTAAATACATAAAAATAAACTTTATTTATTATTAAGTCGTCATTTTATTAGGCATGACTATATTATATGGTCACATAACCCAACAACTTATTAGAAGATTATGAAACACAACACAACACGAACAGGGGCACAGGTAATTCCTCCAACAACAAGTGCAAATAATCACAGTTTAGAAGCAGCATCCTTGTCCAAGAACCATGTTAATTCTTTTTCGGCTGAAACTTCCATGCACGGGAGGGGAGCTACACCAGGAGGAAGTACACCACCCAATGTTATTTTTACAGCATCGGCCAGCTCAGCGCCAGTGACCACCATTGCGATCTCTGAAGCTGAGTTGATCACAGGAAACGTGAAAGTGATCCTCGGTGGAGGAGGTTTGGGAGAATCGGTAATGAAGGTCACCCACCGTTTCTTCTCAAAACGTTGCGGGCGTGTAGGAAATAAAGAAGCCACATGTCCATCTGGCCCGATTCCAAGTAGCATAAGATCAAATTTGGGGAATCCACTTGCGTCAGATATAGGTATAATTTTTCTATAGACCAAATGCTTGAGACGTGCTTCATAATCATCTGCTGTAGCCTTTGGCGACAGCTTGTCGTTAATGGCATAAATGTGACAGGGAGAAATTGGTACCTGCAAAATTAAATGAATTGTTATGCATTCAGTTTGCAGACAAAAAATATCTCGAAATTTTGCATACCTTCGAAAGAAAACCATCATAAGCAAGTTTATAATTGCTGTCAGGACTATCCAAAGGAACCACCCTCTCATCCACCCAAAAGATGAGCCATTTCGACCAATCAACTAAATCTTTGTAAGGAAATCCCACCAGTTTCCTTTAAACATCAAAATCAAATTTACAAAAAGATCGACTACAAAAATAACCCATTTCATTACAGGAATTGTAGGGAAAAAAAAGGTAGATCCCATTTACAAAATAGCAGGCGTACCTCAGTGTATGGATTAGGGTACCTCCAGAAAGAACAACAGAGAAATAGCCTTTCTCTATGATATATTTTTCCGACAATTTGACGACGTATTTTGCAAGAGCCTTGGCGACATCTTCCTCAGATTGGAATTTTCGTACGTTAGTTTTGCAATTCCGAGTGGTTAAATCCATTGATGCAGGGGAAGGGCATTTCAGTACGTTGTTGGATTGGTTATCCACTGGAGTTGCTAAAGCCATTGATGCAGGGGAAGCTATGAGTTTGCTCCAAATTTTAGTGTCAGGTATACGCCGCTACTATCCTAGAATCGTATGCCTATTTTATACAGAGAAGTTCTATTGTTGGAATAAAGTATGTTAACATGTTGTACCATTATTAGTCGTCACAATCAGCCTAGAATCGTATGCCAATTTCGTAGAGATAAAATTTTATCTATTGGAATAAAATATGTCAGCACGTGGCACAATTATTAATTGCCACAGCTAGCCCAGAATCGTATACCTATTTTATAAAGACAAAAGTTCAATTATTGAAATAGAATATATTAGTATGTGTTACCATTATTAATCGCTATCACTAGCTCAGAATCGTATGCCTCTTTTATAGAAACAAAATTTCGACTATCGGAATCAAATATGTTAGCACGTTACATCACTATTAATCGCCACTGCTAGCCTAGAAATATAGACAAAAATTTAATTATTGAAATAAAATATGTTAGTACGTGACACCGTTATTAATTAGTAAAATAAAATGAAAATAAACACGTATACAATGAAATTGGGAGTGCAACTATGAACTACGTACTAGTACAACTTTAGGTTTGTCAAGTGATCCTAATGTACCACAAGTTTGCGTAGTGGTCCTAATGTGTATAACTTTGTCAAGTTATATATTACCTTACAAATTAGATTTTAACCCATATCTTGGGCTATTTTTCTAATCAAAATTTTCTTGTTTACTATTTTTCTTATTTTAACTTTTCTTATATATATTTATTGTTTGGTACTTGAAACTTGAAAGAGAGGAGAAAAGGGTCGATTTCATCACGTTTAATGCTTGTTTCCGAAGAAATCGCCCAAAAGGAACTTTTTGATCCGAAAATTGAAGGCTGGGAACTCAAATGCAAAAAGAAAAAGACTACGCAACCTGAGGTCAATGACATTTTAGAAATGGAATGATTTATTTAATTGAATTTGTAGACTTCAAAACCACAATCAATCATTTATAGAAACATTATTTTTTGTTGAGTGCCGTCAGTCAATGGGAGATACTTCCAGAATCCTTCATTCAGTTGATAGTTATATTTTAGGGTGACTCATTCGCTACGTATTCGTTTCATTGAATAAGCTCTATAGCTCTTAATATTAGGACAAGGCTCGCTCATGACTCACTACCATAGCTTTAGTAGTCAAGAATTCCTCTTTTTCAATAAGCATACAAGTTTTATAAATAGATAGTGATGAAACCTCAACTATATATATACTATTCAAGTAATTCTATTTATCATAACTAGTGTTCGACATCAATACTAGTTTAGGTGACAATGAAACCCACACCCCACAATTTCCTATATTAGTTTTGAATACCATCGATGATGAATATCATTATTCATATTATTCTAATGATGGTCTTATATAAAAAGTTTGAAGTTATTAAAGAGACAAGAAAGTATTAATTTCTTGGAATTACTGGTTGACACTTTCATGGAAAAGTTAATAATGCAAATATATAGAGCTAATTGTTTCAATAATCATCCAACTTATACAATGGTCACGATTTACTCATTACACTTCAAAGTGCCTATTGAATTTTGCCCGTTTGCACTCTATCCACTAACCTAAAAAATTCGTTATTTTATTCACTAACGTGGCTAATGAAAATTTCACGTAACAAGTTACGGTCATTAAAAAAAATTAAAACTCAGCCAAACCATTGTTTCATTATTCATCTAACTTACATTGGGATACAGTTTACCTATCAAACTTCAAAATGTTTTTCAATGGTCACTCATCTTTGAGATATTACATTTCACGGTCCCATAAACTTCAAAATGTTAAAAAAAATTATAACTCAAACAAAAATCATCAACTTATCAAAATCACCATATGTGAAACATAACTTTCACGGTCCCATAAACTTCTTTAAAACCCAATAAAGTGTCCCCAATTTCAGTCCACAAAACCCTAGCCCCCAATTCACTCATCTCACCCACATACAGCTAAATTGTGTAATTTGACAGAGCGGATTGTTGAGAAGGATAGGAGAAACTACTACTTATAAAGCTCTACCCCCCAATTGTACATAGCTTTTTTCATCGACTTTGCTATATTATACAATTTAGTTGTACGTGGGTAAGATAAATGAATTGAGGACTAGGGTTTTCTGGGCTGAAATTGCGGATGCTTTATTGGATTTTGTAGAAGTTTATAGGGCCTTGAAAGTCACATTTCATAAATGTTGATTTTCGTGAAGTGATGATTTGATTGAGTTCTAATTTTTTTTAATGATTGTAACTTGTCACGTGAGAATTCCGTACGATACATTAGAAACGAAGGGAACGAAATATTGCAAATGATGGATGGAGTGCAAATCTCAAATATGAGTGGCTATCGTAAAATATTTTTAAGTTTGATTAGTAAATTGTGTAAGTTGAATGAGTAATGAAACAATGATTTGATTGAGTTGTAATTTTTTTTAACGGCCGTAACATGTCATATGAGATCTTCAATAACCACGTCAGCAAATAAGGTAACAAATTTTTAGGGTGATGAATGGAGTGCAAACAAGCAAAGTTCAATGAGTACTGTGAAGTACTTTGAATTTTAGTGGGTAAACCATGACCATTGTCTCCAAATATAAGGTCAAATCTAATCCCAAACATAAAATACAATGTAAGTTGAACGTAAAGCAAAATGAAGGCCATTGCTTGATTTCAAAGGACACAATACAATTTGGATAAATTTTACTTGGTCAAAGAAAAATGTAGAAAATCGAGAGAATTTTGATTAATTTATAAAACCCTAAACTTTAGCATTACTCGGCCTTTTCTTTTATCCTAAAGTGAATACAATACTGTTACACCTTGATTCACAAGGCCACAAATATTCTATGCGGCGAGCAAAGGTAGGGCCTACACCGCACCAGAATATACTAACACGAGACTGATCTAACCTGTGGCTGAGCCAATATGCTTGCCAACCCCATAGAACCACACTAACCCCACGGGAAGAGCCGGTCCGTGAGTGGAGGAGAGGCCACGGAAGAAGCTCAACACAAGATCTCTCAGACAATTTTTTTTTTTGATATATGATTGATGTGATAATTCACTATCACCATTGCCTTAGCCTATTTGGTCAAGTCCAAAGCCGCAAGTTAGGCGTTATGGATGCTAAAGTGATACTAGCATTTAAGGCTTATGATTGATTGACATTTAAGATTAGAGGCATTAGCCGCATGGATAAGGCTACATGTCTTTTCATCCAATGACCATCATTCATTTTCTCATAGTATAAAAACTCACACTTAGTGCCATTTGAAAGTAATGTAAGTTTAGATCTCAAACTACAACTTTTACATATCATTGTTTTATCTATCATTCCCCAAGACCGACCCTTTTTTTATATTAGAAGCTTACGTCTAAAGCTCTCCCATACCATATATTTACTTTCCCAACTGACTTGACTACCGAGTGCGTGAGTCCTACTCCACCCTATCAGAGAAAGTCACGTGTGACTAATGGTTTGTTCAAGTGTGCATGAACTGGGCTTCCGTGGACGTGAGAGGCTTTGAGTTGGTCACATTGGAAGTACATTTTTTAAGGGGTCAATAGATGTTGCCGTCTTTGGGAAACCACACTATAACCGTGAACCCTTGTGTTGAAAGCTATCAAAATGGAGTTATTCTACAGCCAAATCTAAAAGAAAGGTCCTGGTTCTTGAAAAAAGATGGCTGCGAATGTTGAAAAGGCATCTCTAGAAGCTTATTCTTACATAAAAACTATTGCTACACCTTGAGTTCCAATCATTAAGGTTCCCCAAGGTAGAAATCAACAAGAGAAGAATTCTAAAGAAGAAGCCATTTGGACAAATGTAAATATGAGTTGACCCTACCACCAACATCGATGAGGTGGCACTACTACATGCTTGGCAAGGGAAGTTCTGGAGATGGCTACAAACATGAGAACTTTGGCTCAACAAAACATCGTCATGCACCAATTACTTATGCAAATGCATGGACAAGCAGGATACCAATAGGAAGAGGAGGAGAATGACATATGACCTACATATGTAATTAATTGTGTATAAAGCTATCTTAAAGTTGACCCCAATTAAAGTGATTTAATAAAGAATTAAATTATTAGGCTTAGGGTATCTAAATAAAATGTGAGTTGAATTTTAGGTGTAGAAACCAGATTCCTTTAGAGATGTATTTCATGATGGGCAAGATACTTATGGATATATATAGGGTTATGATCTTCAATTCATATGAAACTTCTCATTCTTTGTATCATCCTATCAATAAATACACGAGAAAACATATTGAAGATGAATATCCAAGAAACCAACAATCAAGAATAAGGATTGAAGAAATCAAAATTATGGAGCAAAAATTTGAAATCAAGATCAAGAACTCAAGAACCAAAAGAGCCAATAGTCAATATTCAAGATTCGATATTAAAGCATCATTCCCAATGAATTAATGTATATTCCACATTTAATAATTTTTTTTGATGATTTGACATTGAGGATCTTGGCAATAAAGGAATTTAGGTGTTCAAGTTCTAAAGTTTCTAATTTTATAAAGTTTAAAGTTTCATCAAGTGATATTAGAGCCAACTCCATGTTAAACAATTAAGATTAAATGAAGATTTTAGGGTTGAAATTCATATTTTGGTTTTAGAAAATTTTGGGATGTGAATTTCAGACCCAATATATCAAAATTTTGAATTTTTTTTGGATTTTTGGGAAATTTTGGTTCAAAACAGCAGTCGGCGCATGGCGACCTCCGTAAGGTAGCTCGACTGGCGTTGCCTGGCTGCACTACCAGGTAGCACCATAGCGCTGTAATGCCCAGTTCGAGTGCTGCAACGTTGGTTTTCTATTCAAGCGTATAATTTTTTTCCTTTTGGCGACAGAAGAGAAACATAAAAAAATATTTAAAGGGACAATCAATTTCAAATCTTGGTATTTAATATTTATTTCGAAATACTAATTTTCTAACATAGATTAGTTGAAGC